CTGCTGATCCAGACTAATGACAGGGAGCAAACTGTGTTTTCTCTCTGCCCAGAGGTAAAAACCCACCCAGGCAGCACAGGGAAGGTTTCCCACGGGAAGGATTTCCCTCCAGCTCCCAAGGAGCCTTATCCTGAGGAAGGCAGCAGCACTTTGCCAGCTCTCAGAGAGCCCCCGCATTGCCCACGTCTCCAGCAGGTGGTGACATCCCTGGATGAACAACACAACCTGTTCCAGGCTGACCCAGAGCGTTTCCATCAGCTCCTGCATCCCATTGCAGCCAGCTCCTGCTTTGCCAGGACAAATCCCGGTGCTGTGAACACTCAGTGCCTCAGGACAGAGGAGATGGGTCCGGGTGAAGGCAGAGCCAGCCCCTCTCCCCCGGCAGGATGTGGCCCCAGCAGTGAGATGCAGTCCCTGCCATCACCTCCTGCATCCCTGGCCCAGCTCCAGCCCCCGTTGCAGAAGCAGCAGGAGCCCCACAGCCCTGGGTTCCTCTGGATTCACCCACAGCAGCCTCAGAGAGGCACGGAGCAGTTGGGCAGCTCAGCACCCACTGCCCTTGTGCTGTGAAACACCAAAGACCATGGGTTCCAGCTGGGGGGGTGGGGAGGGGCTGAAGACCCCACGATTCAGCTCTCAAACAAAGCAAGGGCTGCAGCCCTCACTCTCTTTTTGCTTTTCTCTTGGGTTTCTTATTTTTTTTAACACTTTTGGGACTGCCTACTTCTGAAAACAGATGCTGGAGGGTCTGGCGAGGGGTGGGGGGGGAGGCTGTTTGGCTCCTATTTCTACAGCCTGCCCTGGTGCAGCTCTAAAGTTTGCTGGATGATCATGCAGGTCTTATTGCAGCTCTGTGGTTTTTGTTGGTTTTGTGGTGTTATTTTTTTAAAGTAGCCCAGCTTCAGTTTCAAGTAGCCTCAGAGGTGGGTTTCTCTCCCTTCCCCACCTGCTCTGGCCTCCACCTCTCTGTGCTGGCCAGGTGGCTACTCAGTGGCCATCTGCTCGATGTGGTCGCTGAGGAGCTTGTATTGCTCTGCAGAGGAGAGAAAAAAGGGGTGGTGGGAGGGTGCTGAAGCATCCCCAACAGGCAGGTGGGCTCCATCCCACTGGGCCCCCGGGCAGGGGGTGTGCACATCCCCTGGGCTCATCCCTACCTTCATCCAGATTGCCAATGGTCGCCTGCTTCTTCAGGAAGTCACTGCAGAGCTTCTTGTTCAGGCCAAACGCCAGCATGTTGTGAATGAAGGTGCTGAGGAAGGACAAGAGATGTTCTTGGTGAGGGAAGAGCCAGGCTGCCCTTTCTTCATCCCCCCCCCTCCTCTTCCTCTCCACAGCCCCTTGTGCCAGGCACTGGGATGATATGGGAGATCCTGCCACGCCTGGATTTGCAATGTAAGGGGCAGGAGCATCAAGCACCCTTGGTGAGACCCTGGCCCAGGCTGCCCAGGGAAGCTGTGGCTGCCCCATCCCTGGCAGTGTTGAAGAGCAGGTTGGATGGGGCTTGGAGCAACCTGGGCTGGTGGGAGGTGTCCCTGCCCATGCAGGGGATTAGCACTAGATAATCTTTAAGGTTCCTTCCAACCCAAACCAGCCTGAGATTCTGTGATCCTCTGTACCAGAAGGGATGTCCCCAGCAGGGGAGCATCTGTCAGGTGTCCCACCACAGCCTACGAGGACAGAGCAGGCTGCCAGAGGGATGGTCCCTGTGCCCTGCTCACCCCAGCTGCCCGAAGGTGATGTTCTCGTTGAAGCGCAGGCTGTCGTCACGCTCCTCCTGTGTCATGTGGCACCACTTCTCCCTGCAAGACACAAGCCCCATCTGGCACCATCACCACCCTGGGGCCCCCAACCTGTGTCCCCACCCCTCCCTGGGCTGAGGACTGGAGGGGACAGGGAGCTTCTCCC